GTCAGGGATGAGTCTGTGATGTTCAAGGATCTGAGTCTTGTTCACAAATAATGATAGGACAGAGCGGGAAATAGATCAATAGATAGGAGCTTTGTCTGCAGTAATGAGGATATTACTTCCATCTGTCAGGGTGAAGGAAGAGTTAAGGTGAAAGACAGAGCTCTCAGTTTACTGGTTTGTCTACAGTGCAACTAGCACCTACAGTCATGAGGTATGGATAATGACCGGAAGAACAAAGCCCTGGATACAAGCAGCTAAAACGAGGTTCCTTCATAGAGTAGCAGTATAAATAAGTTGAGGCGCTCTGTCTTTTGGAAGGAGCTCAAATTAGAGCTGCTGCTCCTCTATAGTAAAGCAAGTGAGCTTAGGTAGTTCAGCCATCTGATTACGGGGCATCCTGAATGCTTCTCTTTGGCAATTTTTCTGGGCACGTCCTACAAGGAGGAGACCCTGGGTAAGACCTGGAACTTGTTGCAAGGTTTATATATCCTTTGAGGTCTGAGAACATCTTGTGATTCCCCCAGGAGAAGCTGGAGAGTGTCACATGGAAAAAGTATGTCTAGGTTTCCCTCTTGAACTTGTTGCCTCAAGATATGATCACGGATAAGCAGTAGAAAAAGACAATATGTACGTAAGTATGGCTGTATGGATGCATGGATGGATGATGTACCCTCTTACAAGCATTGGACAACCCATAGAACAATTTACCCTTTATTCTGTGTGGCCCCTTTCACATTGTACAATGATCCCACCATCCTGCCCACAACCCTGTGTTGGTCGTTGGTGTCAGATGGTGAGTTTGATGACCAATCTAGATTTCAACATGAGTGGCAGCAAGTGCAAATGCACACTGAAGCAGCAACACCAAGAGTGTTCCAATAACTTACATGGTGCTTTGTCAGTGTAGGACCAATTGGGTCACTGACTAAACATGATGTCAAAGTCACTAGTCCTGCTTCAAAATCCCAACAACCAAGCTACACTGGTGCGCACAGACCCAAAATCATGAATACTCTCATTTGAAAAATCTAACTTCAAATACTCTAGTCAGTCTAAACCATACCAAGAGAAAACGTGTTACAAGCAGTTGTTTCCCACCAAGTTCTTACTATGATTCTATGCTGCCTTAAAATCATTCCTGATTAAATAAAGCTACCTTAAAGGAGGGATATAACAGCTAAAATGATCTCTGTTAGGAGTGTGATGTAAACTGCTACATCAACAAACTGCTGTTTGCCTGGGTTCTTATTTACATGACTGCAAACAAACGTTTAATGGAAACTGAAAATTCTAGACAAGTATGAACCTAAAGCAAATCATTGTTGTCCTATTACAAAAACTTGATTCAAACTCTGACTAAACAATAGGCAGTGTGTTTTTGTAGGTTTAGTTTAAAAGCATGATAGACAAGTCCACTCTCAACTGATTAATGATTCACTTAGCAAAACCTGGGTTCCAAGTAAAACAACAGAAAAAACAAGTATTTCCAAAAATAAATTTAAAATATTAATATAAAATATTCTCATAATATTTTGTTGCCCTTTATAACCAACCAGCCATTGTTATTTTTTTATAAAGATACACAGGAACTGTGTGAGATACTATGAGAACAAACAATTGACACAAATTGTATTAAAAGAAATGTGAACCACAAAACCATGAAAAAGAAAAATGATTAGTTATTAAAAGTTATAAAATATGTCCTTAAAAGAAAATAACCACACAAGGACAAAAAAGTCAAACAGTTCATAATGAAAAAAATACAGTATATATCACCCGACGTCTTTAGTGAGGTCAAACAATAAAATAACCATTTTTTTAAAGGCAAATTAATTTGAAATAAATTGTAGCCTGACTGCAACGGTCTATGTCTCCAGCTGACCCTTTTTGGGACAGATGTATGTTTGTGGTTGGGGTCGTTGACAGCACCCCGTTACACCTCTCAGCACAGCACTTTTCTGTAATGGCCCACGAGCAGAACAGCTTCCTCCGCACTAAACAGCCCATTACCAGACATTGATTGCAGTTAACACCAACGTCAGACCATATTAATCGTTCCATCCTTCCGCTCTGGCGCCTCTGCACGGATCTGAACCCGAGTGCTTACCGAGGATCGTTTAACAAGGTTTGAAGAAGTCAGGGGATTTCTGTCAGTGTGCATCACATCACACCTGCTGAGTTTAGTTAGGCTGTTTGAAAGTCAAGGCTGGAATGAAGAGAACATAGATAGAAAGAATAAATGGGACATTATGGTGCTAACATGACAAACAGAGGCACAGTTAGATAAAACCTTGGAGCAGCAAGGTCACACAAAGCTCATCTCTTTGCATGTATTGATTGGGAAGTAATAGGCAACAATTTTTGCAAGCAACTGTATGAGAAGTTATTATAAAGGAAAAACAGGACGACAATAAAATGCAACAATAAAAGTCTTAAGATAAATCTTAAGACGACTGATTTGCATGTCATAATCTCAGGAAATCATCATGAGATGACCGATTTCTTTGTGTTTAATTCTCATACGCCCCAAATAATTTTAGGTTTTCCCTGGCTCCGAAACCATAACCCAGTTATTAATTGGGAGCGCGGCAGCGTTGACCAATGGAGCGACAAATGTCTCAGTAACTGTCTTCGCTCCGCCATTAAAGAGTTCCCTCGGAATGCACCTCCTCTAGAGGAGATCGACCTCACCTCTGTTCCTGCTGAATACCGGGACCTGGCGGCCGTCTTTAGCAAGCAACGCGCCTTGTCTCTTCCTCCTCACCGTCCCTATGACTGCTCGATTGACTTATTACCTGGCGCCCCCTTGCCGTCAAGTAGACTTTATAATCTTTCTGGTCCCGAAAGGGAGTCTATGTCCGATTATATTAATGAATCCCTTGCCTCTGGTATTATTAGACCCTCGACCTCCACTTTGGGAGCCGGTTTCTTCTTCGTTTCTAAAAAAGATAAAACTCTCAGGCCATGTATTGATTACCGCGGCTTAAACAACATACCTATTAAAAATAAGTATCCGCTCCCCCTCATTGACTCACTACAGGAACAGTTACAGTAGGCTTCTTGTTTTACTAAACTCGACCTAAGAAACGCTTACCACCTCGTTCGTATTAAGGAGGGCGACGAGTGGAAAACAGCTTTTCGCACTCCTTTGGGTCATTTTGAGTATTTAGTTATGCCTTTTGGGTTGACCAATGCCCCCGCAGTTTTTCAGGCGCTCGTCAATGACGTCCTGCGCGACCTCCATCCATCCATTTTCTTTACCCGCTTATTCCATTTTGGGTCACGGGGGTCGCTGGTGCCCATGTCCAACAATCACTGTGCGAGGGGCGGGGTACACCCTGGACGGGTCGCAAGTCCATCACAGGGCCACATAGAGACAAACGAGACAAACAACCATTCACTCTCTCTCACACCTAGGGACAATTTAGAGTTACCAATCAGCCTAACATGCATGTTTTTGGACTGTGGGAGGAAACCGGAGTACACGGAGAAAACCCACGCATGCACGGAGAGAACATGCAAACTCCACCCAGAAAGGCCCCTGGACCGGGGTTTGAACCAGGGACCTGCTCGCTGAGAGGCAGCAGCTCTACCAGTTGCGCCACCGTGCTGCCTTCCTGCGCAACCTTATTGGTAATTTTGTTTTCGTTTATCTCGATGACATCCTTATTTTTTCCCGTGACCCCTCTCAACACACGGCTCACGTCCGCACGGTTCTTCAGTGGCTGCTGGAGAATCAGTTATTCGTTAAGGCAGAGAAGTGTGAGTTCAATACCTCCTCCATCTCGTTCTTAGGTTTTATTTTTGAGGGTGAACGTTGTCGAACTGACCCTGAGAAAACCAGGGCGGTAGTCGACTGGCCGACCCCCGAGTCCAGGAAACAGTTATAACGTTTCCTGGACTGAGACCCCTTTTTTGATTTGGACGGACCATAAAAATTTAACCTATCTCAGGAACGCCAAGCGTCTGACCCCCCGTCAGGCCCGTTGGTCGCTTTTCTTTAACCGTTTCAATTTCGTCCTAACGTTTCGCCCAGGCTCCAAGAACATTAAACCTGATGCCCTGTCCAGGCAGTTTGCCCCTCCTGACTCGCCTGAGGTTTCTACACTAGACCTACCGACACTACGCTCTCCAGGAGGGAATGAGCAGCGGGGTGCAGCAGCGGGGTGCAGCAGCTGAGCGCCGCCTGTCCCGGAGGAACCATCCGATTCGCTCAGAGGGTCGGCGATAAGAGGAAAATTACAAGATGGCGTTGTCCAGCGTGTAGCAACCTGTCACTGAGAAATATTCCTCTGTGCTTACTTTGAAACAAGACTGCTCGTCAGCTTCTCCTCGGGGAGGAGAGCTCACCGGATGACCGGAGGTCGACGTGCCGGGCCAAGCATTCTTAACAAAGGTTGGTCAGCTACACAACTTTCCTTCTTCGTTCTTCTGACAGTGCTAACAGGTTGCTGAAGAAAAAATGGGAGTCGATTTCCCGCTCTTAACGTAATTTAGACGGACCGGGTGGGGCCCACACAGCAGGTGGGCGTGGACTAAATTTTTCAGTGCAATGCTTCGCATATCGTGATAAACCCATCAGCGACAGCCTTAAAGGGCGAAGCTTATACAAAATAGAACAGGCAGGTCTTCCATGTCCTGCTTTCCCTCTGAACTCTCCATTTTTACTTTGCTTTGATATATAAAGTTTTAGAAAGTATCATCCTCTGCTATTTTTTTATTTGGCAATCATATAATGGCAGCTAAACCAAAAACTTTTATAGTCTATAGAATATGACTAGTTGGCCTAGTACACCCTGAAGTCTGTATTGTGACATTTAAACATAAATATGTTTTTTGCACCCTTATTACTGAGGTATTTGTAACTGCAAATTTTACAGTAAAAAGATGTCTAACGATTTTCTGTAAGTCTCACTGTAAATATTTGTATTAAGTTATAATCAATTCATATAATTCACACTGATATCAAGCCAGAAACTGAAGTTACAAATTAAGAATACCTGTTAATAGCAGAGCTGAGCTCATCCAGGCGTCTTGCGTCTGTGCTGGAGCTGTTGTCCAGTTTGGACAGGGTGTCCATCCTCTTCAGAATCACCTCCAACATGTCGCTGATCTTTCTCAGCACACTGCGTGACTCCACACTTCCCAGCACTGCGAGGAAAAACAGATGTGGAAGAAACGACAGGAGGTAAATGGGAAGCTTGAAAAGGGAGAAACACAGCAAACAGCCTTCATCCGAATGTCTGGGGCTCCTCTGCCTCATTACGTTGCCGTTGGTTTTGGCTGTGTTCTTGTTTGCGAGAATTTTCTTCATGTGCTTCATTACAGCAAAGATTAAAACCAAAGTCCCTTCAGCTGTGCACCAAAGTCTTCAATTAAACGTGCTTGAAAACACATAAACTCAATATTTGCTTGGTCTTTAAGAGATTTTGCCAGAAAAACATTTATAGAATATAAGTTCTCTCTGGTAGGGCTATATGAAAAAGTTCATGCAACAAGTTTATTATAGTGCTTTCTTCAAACTTTATTTTTATCATGTCATAGTTTCTATACGCTTAGAAAATTCACATTTTTGTGCCAGTCTCATCATTACAATAACGCTACTTTAGTCTGAGCTCCTTCACTTGAGGGCCTGTGTTAAATTTCTCATCCTAAAGTCTCTGAGCCAACAGTTTGATTATCTCAGTCCTTAGCCTGCATATCCTCATCTTGATCTCTTCTGATCACAACTGAATGCTGATCTCTTTTTATAAACCCAAGTTCTTAAGGCTAGACAGCCAGACACTCCAGAGTCTGAAATGGGCTTATGTTTATATCCTTTGATCCCCTTTGATAGGACGGCACAAGAATGATATTTCCACAAAGATCTTAAGTTGTGAAAATAGAGGGAATAAATGTCATGAGCCACTAAAGGCTTTCACTGATGTGTTCTTCAATGAGGACAGCAGGAGTCAAATTGAAGGCGTAGCAGTCCTTGAATCTTAACACTAACCTACCACCTTTTATACCTGAGTTTTAAACCAGGATGGTCTTGTACTGCGAGGGTATGGAGTTAAACCTATTTTAGTCAAACCTTGTAAAGGATGTTATGTGAGATCTCATCCAACTTTCCAAACTCTTGCAAGATCTGTTAGTGTTCAGAGAATATGGTGTTAATGATGCTGAGCTACTACCACATCAAACTTTTCTTCAATTGCTGCAAATTTGACTATATCATAATTGTCTTTGTTGGTAAAGGTAAAGTGTCTGTGGTGGTGGCCATCTTGAATTAGGGTGACTCCAAATATTGAGTTGTAGATGAACATTCATGATTGTCCTGTGGACGAATTCTTCTTTGTTAAAATGTTTCGTCTTTATCTAAACGACTTCTTCAGTCTGATCTTTTGGATAAAACACAAAATGTTTCAACAAAGAAAAATCCGTCCAGAGGACCTGACTGAACCTTTTTAGATTTTTCTACCTTGATTTTTGAGCATGCATCAGGAAATAAATTATTACTTTTTAAGAGTTTCTCGTTAAAGTGGAGGGAGTGGTGGCACAGAGGTTAGAGAAGGTGGGCGTGTGATCAGAAGATCGCTGGTTCAACTCCCGGTACAGACAACATCAAAATGTGGGTGGGACTGGTGCAGCACCTGCACCTGTCTCCACCTTCTTTTGCCCCACTCTTGGCCCTTGAGCAAGGCTCCTAACAGCCCCCCCCCCCATCTGCTCCCCTGGATGCCCTAGATAGCAGCTCTCTGCTCCACACAGAGGGTTGTGGTAGCTCGGTGGTCTGTGGTTGCGTTGAGAAGGGCATCCAGTGTAAAATAATAATCAAGTGTTAATACGACGGTTCGCTGTGGTGACCCCTGACGAATGGAGCAGCCGAAAGAAGAAGAAGAAGCATTTCTCACTTAACTATATCCAGATTTCCATTAGATATTTTGCTAACATACAGGGAACTTCAGCAGGGTTGATGCTAACACTTATTCTGAAAGTTTTAATAAAATATTTAAAAATCCCACATACTGTGTAACCCTTAAAGTGTGTGCTGGGGATACTCAATTACTACCACACCACATTTTAGCTAAATATCTGTAAACTGACTGAGTTAAAGCCATTTTTGTGTTTGCTAAAGTCAACTGGCTTTGGTAGACATCTTGAAATTGGGTTGACTCCAAAAATTTATCAGTTATAGACATCCTGATGCATGCTCAATAATCCAGGTAGAAAAATCTAAAAAAGTTAAATCTGGTCCTCTGGTAACAAAACAAGTTTAACTTACTAATAACTCATCAACAACATCACTATTCCAATAACAACACATTCAGTGTAGGACAACACTCCAGTAGTCAATTACATGCCAGGGAGACAGAAAAGTGGGTGAAGAATTTATCTGACAGACAGCTCACCCAGCCAGAGACAGAGATTCTTGCCAGGGGACTGAACTTTGCGGTTGCACCAAGTAGAATTCCTCTGGTGGAGATGATCACAGCTAATGAGTCAGCCATCCGCAACAACAAAATTAAAGAGGCTGAAGCAGAACAGCTCAGAATCAAAGTTTCAGCCTACCTCAGCAATGCCAAACCACCACCTTCCAACATCAGTAGAGAGGAGAGGGATGCACTCACCACTCTTAGCAAGGACAAAAACATAATCATTCTCCCAGCAGACAAAGGAAGGTGCACAGTGATTTTGAACCAGAAAGACTATCATGAGAAAGTTATGACACTCCTTAGTGACGTAAACACTTATGAACCTCTGAAAAGAGATCCAGGAAGTGGTTACAAGAAGAAATTGATAGATTGCCTAAAAATTTTGGAGCAGGACAAGGCTATTGACCGTTTTCTGTACCACAGACTGTTCCCAGGGGAGGCCACACCTAGTCTGTATGGTTTACCTAAAATCCACAAACAAGGTGTACCTTTAAGACCAATTGTTAGTATGATTAACTCTGTCACTTACAATGTTTCCAAATATCTGGCGTCTGTACTCATCCCTTTAGTTGGCAGCTCAGAACACCACATACAGAACACCATGGACTTTGTGGACAAGGTGAGGGATGTCATCATGGAGACTGATGAAACAATGGTCTCTTTTGATGTCACATCACTCTTTACGTGCATTCCTGTTGATGATGCAATAGAGGTGGTCAGTTTAAAATTAAAATCAGACACCACTCTGAGCAGCAGGACCACGTTTTCCACAGAACAACTGTGTCAACTCTTGAAACTGTGCCTGCAGTCAACCTACTTCACATATGGGGAGCAATATTATAAGCAGAAACATGGGTGTGCTATGGGGTCTCCAGTTTCTCCTATTGTTGCCAACCTGTACATGGAGGAGGTAGAAAAGAGAGCCTTGAGGTCCTTTTCAGGGACACCACCAAGTCATTGGTTCAGGTATGTTGACGACACCTGGGTTAAAATTAAATCTCAGGAAGTCCAACATTTTACTGACCACATCAAATCTGTGGATAAATACATCAAGTTCACACGAGAAAATGAAAAAAATGGCAAGTTGGCTTTCTTGGACTGTGAGGTCTCAGTCTCTGATAGAGGACATTTGCAAACCGAGGTGTACCGCAAACCCACCCACACAGACCAGTATTTGCAGTTTGACTCCCATCACCCTTTGGAGCACAAGTTAGGAGTCATCAGGACTCTGTATCACAGAGCAGACAGCATCCCCACTAGCTCAGGAGCCAGGCAGAAGGAGAAATCCCACACAAGACAGGCTCTAGAGCAATGTGGATATCCTAACTGGGCCTTCCTAAAAGCAGAGAAGAAACCCAAACAGGACTCCAGTCAGCCAACAGGTGAAAAGGAGGAACCCAGACCCAGACCAGTGGTCATTCCATATGTTGAGGGAGTATCAGAGAAACTGAGACGTTTATTTTCTAAACATAACGTCCCAGTGGCTTTTAAACCCCAAAATACATTACGGCAAAGACTGGTTCATCCCAAAGATCCAGTCCCCCGGCACAAACAGAGTAATGTTGTGTATGCTGTTCAGTGTCAGGAGGGCTGTGATCAGTCTTAC